CTCTCTCTCTCTCTCTCTCTCTCTCTCTCTCTCTCTCTGTCAGTCAGTCAGTCACTGGTCAGTGCCTCTTATGGTGCGCGAGCAGAGAGGGTCAGCGCCTTTCTTACGGCCTTAGCCCTGCCTACAGCCCAGCCCATAGGCTTTAGTGGAGTTTCTGCAGGGCTCCGCTTCTCTGTGCTTCTAGGATCGCCCAGTCCTCCCAAAGCTCTGCCCACAACCGGGCCCGCCCAGTTCTGTCTCCTCCCGCCCCTTGGCTGTTAACTCCGCCCAGCTCCTCAGCCCCTCCCACCACTGGCTGCCTTAACATGGTATCTGGTGCCACCTTCTGGGAGGCTGAGGGTACTGTCCCCTGTCCCACTACTCGGACCAGTTACTGACAGTCTGGGCTATAGGGGAGGTGGGGGGCGCATACATTCACTAAGTGCCCCTGCCCCTGACCACACAGAACCTCCACAACACTAACTGACCCACAACACTCTGGCCACTCCCCAGCCAGAGACTCCTGTGTCTCCTCCATCAAAGCTGTGGGCAGTGGAATCTGCCTGTCTGAAGGCCCGCCCCACTCCCATGGAGAGACATCCCTGCTTTGAATCTCTTGCCTGGTATCCCCTCTGGGTCTTCTAAGATCCTCCAGTGGAAGCTCCAAGCAGATCTGAACCTGGGCCCTTGCCTCAAGATGGCCTTTCTCAGGCAAACTAAAAGTAGGGAAAGATTCGAAATTTAGGAGAGTAACACGGAAAAGAGCAAAGCTCACGCTGGAAAAAACAAGGTGGCTCCTGTGCTTTGGAGGAGCCAGTCCAGCCTGTTGGAAGCAAGGGAAGGCATGGGGCTCTGTGAGGGATGTTTCTAGTCCCCGTCATGCCTGCCAGTGCTATCGAGAGCCAACACCCCTGCCTCTTCTGCCTTCAAGATCTTGGCTCAAAGCAGGCCCTTTTGACCAGGACAGTGCAGGTCCCTAGCCCAGCTCAGGCTCTCTGCTCCGTTTGTAGGCAAGCTGAATCCACACTGGGAACGACCAATGATCCTAACTCTACAGGCCCCCTCCCCGCAATCCCCAGGGTGCCCCGCAATCTCTTGGAAATGAGTACTGCCCCCCCAGCTCACAGATGGGAAAGTCACAGGCCCTGGGGATTTGCTCTGGATCAGGGGTTAGGTGGAAGAGCACATTTCTGTGGGCCTAACAGCACAACTCCATCTCTTCCTGCCCTGCACCTGCCTCTCCAGCTCAAGCCGCCGGCACCCCCACTCTCGTCTCCTGTCAGCAGGTCAGAGGCACTTGGCAGGGGGCTGGACTTCCAGCAGAAATTTTGTCCCAAAGGGGGCAGGACAGGCTGGGACCAGGCCCCTCTCTAGTTCAGGAGTTAAGTTCTCAAGATCCTGTGACTTATTAGAAGTTCAGCAAACTTCCCGAGGCTGAGCGAAAAAGGGGAAGCGGGAAGGTAGGGTTCATTTGCTGGGCCCCGGGCCACTGGGTGGTCTAAAGGGACAACCCCCAGACAGGGTTACCTGGCACTATCAACATGGTGTGCACTCAAGTCCCGGCTCACAGGGAGTTTGACCTTCCTTCGGCCACTCTGGGACCAGCCTGGCCTAGGACTCGAGGTTGTGAGCAGAGGGGCCGCCCGAGGGTTGCAGGAGCTGGTGGGGGGAGTGAGCTCTACACCAGCTGTTCTATCACACCTCCAAAGACACAGCTGCTTCCCTCCTCCTACCCAAAGCGGGATCCCAAGACAACCCACCAGCCACTTCCTGTTCATCCCAGGCCAGGTACTTGCCAGAGGCCTCCAGGATCTAGAGCCCCGCTCAGAGCGGCACCAGAAACCATTCTCCCCTCTCCCAGCCTCAAGACAAAACCTGCCCTGGAGCTGGGGTCCCGCACCAACCAGATGTGTCTCTTCACAGAGAACCAGCCTGAGGGCTGCACCCCACCCCCACCCCCGGAACTGCAGGGGCTAGCCACAAAGGTGGGGACAGCCTGTAAGGGGGCCTGTCCCCCCATCCTGCTTGCCCGAGGCAGGCAGGGCTCTCTGCCCCTGCCATCTCACCAGCGGAGGCAACAGGCTCAGTGAGACCCACCTCACGGGCAGAAAAGACACTGGGGCTGGGGGGGGGAGAGCTGTGTGGAAGCTGCTGGAACACCAACTCACAGTGGGCTTGGCTAGCCCCCTTCTTCCCTCACCCAGCCCCCAGCCCTCCATGGCCTCGTCCTGAAACACGGGTAGAGGGCCAAGAAAGCAGACATTCAGAGGCAACAGCATTGTAATAAAGACACTGCTTTTATTTAGTTTGATATGTTTCTATACAGAATGCAGAAAACACATCTGAAAATCATAAAGAAGAAAATAAAAACATGTCAGTGGTTGGTGAACACTTGAAAGTGAATTGGCTCTCCGTCTCAGAGTCCAGCGGCCACCGCCAGCCTGGTGCTCAGGGGAGGAGGCTGTCCGCAAGGCCATTGTTGCTGTTGTTATTCTGTGCACTGCCCCTTCGCCTCCAGTTGCTATGGCAACAGACCATTCTGGGCCAGCCACGTCTCTGTGTGGCAGTGCCCCGCAGTGGGGTTGCTAGGGGCAACGGTGCTGTTTAGAAGGCCTTTCAAAGCCTTCACCTGGAACATTTGGGATTGGACGAGGTCATTAGAAATGGCACCGGGTCTGACCCCACTCCTGACTACAGAGCACCGGGGAAACCCTGGCTTGGACCAAAGGCCTGGAGTCACAGGCCCAGTCACCAGGGGCTCCCTGCACCACCCACAGGGGCACCGCTTATGTGGGCACCCTCCTGCACAGGGTAGGGAGAGGGACAGGGCCTTGTAGGAGAAGGCATGATGGGAAACACCCTCCAGAGTGGTGGGCGGGGGTCCCCAAGCTGCCTGCTGGCCCTCCCTCCCTCCACTCCAGAGGCAGCACACACGATCCCTCTTGCAAACTGTCGATATGGCTTAGAAGTGGCTTCTCCTGTGCACAGGGAGCCTGGGTCTGCCCGCCAGCCCACCCCGCCCTGCCCGGGGAAGGGAAGCATTATTGCAAAGGGCACTCCTCCCTAAAAGGTACCCAAATAACTCAGACGATCAGGAAAAGTCCTCTTCCCAAGAGTTTCTTCCAAAGGAGGAGAGTCAGAGCAGTGGGTGCCCCTGAGTCATGGGACAGAGATGCAGATGGATGGACGGACGTTCTGCTAAAAAAGGCAAAAGAAGTCCCAGGGTAATCCCAGCATTTAAACTGTTATGAAACAGGGGGGGGGGGGGGGCCCGGACCAAAATGAGCAAGCCGTCAGTTCCATGGAATCAACACTAAGAGCTGTACAAACTGCTGTAAGCATCGCCATTTTTAATCTTTTTAATAAAACAATTTGAGGCTGTATAAAAACTTCAGTAAAAAATTAGCTTTGAGTCCACAGATCTTTACTATGAACTATTGCTGGCACTCCCCACCCCACCCCCACCCCCACCCCCACCAGACCTTTCCCAGCCTTTGGGGCCCGGGGCCTGGGACTGGGGTGGAGGGGAAAGGGGCGGGTGGGGCTGTGGACTGTGGGACAAAGCGGCCAAGGTCAAGTGAGGAAAGAGCATCACATGACATAAAAATATTGCATCTTCACCAAAATGTCCCCCACTAAGTGTTTCAAAAACCACGATATTCTTTTTGGGGGAGTGGCGGAGTGGGAGACCAAACACAAAAGGAGGGGAAAGCAAACAGGTTGATATGGTCGAGTCCCTCGACCTCCCCGGGCGCCCCCACAAGCACCTCGGTTTGGGGCTGTGGCCGCCACTGCCTCCTGGGGTCCTTTTTTCCCTGGAAATGAAGACCCCGTGAAGGTGGGCCAAGCGCGTGCATGAGGTGGGGGTGTGCTCGGCCCAAGAGGCCCCTCCAGCTTCCGGCCCCTGGGCAACAGCAGGAGAGCAAGCCCAGCACCAGGGCCCTGGCCCCTTAGCCAGGGCCAGAGGGCCCCCCAGTCAGGCTCTGGGGTATCAGAGCAACCAAGTTTACATAGTGTGAAAAAATAGGATTCCTTTGATAAAAAATACTGTCCCTTGGTCTTCTCTAAGTTTGAAACACCCTGGGAGCTTATTTTTAACAAAGCAATTCCCCATACCCACCCAAAAATGATACATACAAGTTTAGGTAAACAGCAGATTAAATGTAAAAACTTAACCGTAACTTCTCAAAGTCCTTTGAATTTAATCTTGAGCTACTGTTTTCCATGTTACATCCTGCAGCTAGACACACGTGAATAGAAAAAGAAAGAGAAACAAACAAAAGAAACAAAAAAACCAGTACAGTTAGTGTTAAAGGCAAAACGCAGCAGCGAGCCGGGAGGCCGCCGGCACTGCCTGCGAGTTCATTCATGGTTCCTCGCTCCCACCATCTACCTCTACGCCACACGCTGCTTTCAGAGCCAACCGTCAAAAACGCAGCGAAGAATTTTCTATGAACAAACAAAACAGCTGTTAGGCAAAAAATAAAAATTGAAAAAAAAAAAGTCCCCAAAGTCTCTCAGCAGCTTTGGGGTTTCGGAGGACCAGAGGGTGGGCTTGTCCAGGCCCCGCGCGTGTGTGTCCGTGTGTGCTAGGTCAAGTGTCGGCCTCAGTGGGTGATGGTCTGCAGGCCACTGGCTTCCAGACAACACCGTGTGGTCTCCAGGCCCCAGCCCTACCCCTGCCTCCACCCAGGCGCTTGTCGGTTAAGGGGGGACGTAGGGAGGGGGCGACCGGTAGGGGGTCATGTTCTTGGGACGGGAGCCCTTGCCCTCCATGGGGGCCGTGAAGGGTGGAGGGGGCTGGTAGGGGGGTGCATTGGGATCCTCATCCCGCAGGGGCGTGTACTCTCCCACGGTGTCCTGGTTCAGAGGAGTGGTCTCGGGCACGCCCTGGTTGGGGTACTCGGGAGGGGGGAGGGGGGCCTTCTCCTCCTGCAGGATGAGTGGCATGCTGGAGGAGGGGGGCGGCTTGGAGTCATCCAGCTCGTCCGCAAAGATGATGGGCACCCCTTTCTTAATGAAGGTGGCCTGGTCCTCCAGGGTGAGCTTGCCCTTCCGCTTCTTGCGGTAGCAGATCATGGCAATGATGCCGGCAATGAGCAGAATGGCGGCCACCACCACGGCGGGGATGACCGTGTGCAGATAGACATCGTCCTCGCTGCTTTTCTCGGGGTCCCTATCTGGCACCTCCGTGGGTGGCACCTCCGAGGGCACCCTCCTGGGGGGCGTCGCCGGGATGAACTGGTGGTGCCGGCAGCTGCCCGTGCCCATCACGGCAACACTCATGGCCTTGAAGTCAGGCTCCAGGGCATTGGAGAAGGCAGGCCGAGGTTTCCCATCGTCCTCGGCGATCCTCCGGCTCAGTCCCGTGATCTGCTCCTTGGGGCAGGGCTCCAGGGGCAGGGTGTTGTTGGTCCACTCCACCACGATGGAGCCCCGAGTGATGTTCTGCAGGGTGACGGTGCTGCAGTTGCGGTCCCCAAAAGCAAAGGCCAGCTTCTTCACCAGGGCTATCTTCTTGTGGATGTCATTCACGACTGGGGCTGGGTCGCCCATAAACTTGGCACTGAACCGCGCAGGGGCCCGGTCCCCTTGAGGGCGCTTGTGCACGTGGATCTCGAAGGCGTCCACCGCGGAGAGGCCCCCCTTGTCCGTGGCATGCATGAAATACTCGTGCTTGCCCACGTGGCCGCTGTCAGGCAGCCCGTACATAAGCTGGCTGTTGCTGTTGAACTGGACCCAGGACTTCTCGCCCACCAGCTGCTGCTCCCGCAGCTTCAGGGTCAGCTTCAGCTTGTCGGTCGTGGTGTCCTCGTGGTCGTAGAACGTGTCTGGTGGGATCTTCACTTCAAAGTACGTGCCAACCCAGGCATCTACCCTGTCGATGTGGTTCTTGAGTTCTGGAGGCTGGTTGGGCTCCCCACCCCGGGGCACCCCACTGGTGGTGGTGCGGATGCGAGTGGGGGGGGAGGACATTTCCAATCTGGTGATGGGCGCTTTGGTGGTGACCCGGGACACTGGCCGGGACGTCCGGGGCTTCTTGGTTGGCCTGCGGGTCGTGGTGGCTGAGGAGTCGGTTGAAGGCGTGGCTGGTTTTGGCGTGGACACGCGTGGCTTTTTCGTGGTGGTGGTGGGAGGGGTGATAATGGCTGTGGGCTCCACGTGGCTAGGAATGGTCATCGCTGGGCGGATCTGGCCAGGGATGGTGGTGCCAGCTTCTGACACCCGAGTGGGCTGGATGGGGATGAGGGTTGGAGTCTGAATGATGGCCCCTCGAGTCCTGATGGTGACTGTGGGCTTCCCAGGAACCGGATCCCTGACTGGAGGGACCATGGTCTCTGTTGGGGGGGCAATAGCTGGAGACGTTGGGGTAGGCACGATCCTGGAGGGTGGCTCCTGCACAGCTGTGGTTGGGGGCCCAATGGCAGTGACCGGGGTGGGTGTGGCATGGATCTGCCTCCGGATCCGTTTGGGCAGAGAGGGCTTCTTGTTGGCAATGTGCCAGCCCACCACCGGGTAGCCGAGCTGGGCAGACATGGCGCCCTCCCTGGCAGGGGCCTCCACCCCACGGATGTTGGGCACGCTGTTCTGGTTCAGCGAGCAGCCCAGCTTCCAAGAGAGCAGGGCCCCGTTCTCCACCACCTTCTTGGCGTTCCCTGGGCCGGCCATGAAGGCGGACATGTCGAACAGTCTGTTGTTCACCACCGGCACCAGCTTCATGTAGGGGAGCTCCACCCCCGAGAAGCTGCGCATCCTGTGCAGAAGGTCCACCCTTTGCTTTGGGGTCATCTTGGTGAGGTCAGCATCCAGAATCACCGTCAGGACGGTCACAGGCTCGTCAGCAGCACAGGTGGACGCCGCCTCGCCCGGCTCGGGCACTGTGCGCACGGCCTGCGGCTCACTGTGGTCTTCCGGGTGGACTTCGATGGAGAACACACTGGGGGTCTGGGGCACGTGGCTCCCGTTGGCCCCCCGTCGCGCAGCACTCACTGAGATGTAGTGCACCCCCTTGTCAGTGTCAAGCGGGAGGCCCTCCAGGGCATGGCTCTTCGGGTCCCAGTGCAGCCAAGCTGGTAGGGTCTCCTTCCCTGCCGCCGACACCTAGGAGAGACACAGGCATGAGTCGCAAGCACCACCCGAGCCAACCGCTGCCCAGTCTGTGACAGACCTGAGGTGTGACCCACAACTGCCTGTCCCCAGGGAGGCATGCCTCACTCACACCTGTCACCGAAGGTCGGGGTTGTGAGCTGGACTTGCTTGACTGGCCCCTGGCTCCCTGGCAGGGGAACCCTTGCACTGGTCCTCAAACACGCACTAGTCAGCCCAGAGGACGGGTGGCAGTGAGTGTGTGAGGATGCAGGGGAGCTGTGCCGGTGACTGGTCTGCTGTGCTGGCAGAGCACTTCTTTCCAGCCCCGCCTGGGCACCCAGGCCGACTCAGCACCCCCAAACGACTTGTTTTATGACTACTACCATGTCACGGCCAATGGAGCGGGCACAAAACAGCACAGCGTGAACTGAGTGAATGATGGGTGTCAGCATCGGCCCTGCTTCTCAGACCAAGTGGAAGACCGTGGTGCTGGGGTGGGGGGAACACGCCTGTCAGAGGCATCCCAGCCACAACTGGAACGCCCAGAGCTGGAAAAGGGCATCACCCCAGAAATCGCCACCATCGACAGATGGGGGAAGTAGGACTTGCTTTTGGCCCAGGCCCCATCTTCAGTTTGTGTAGACTGATTCCACCTGACCCCGTGGGGGAAAAAGGGGAGTGCCTACTCTCTGGTCAGCACAGAGATAACTCTCTGCTCCTCTGTCCTGCCAAGTAGAGATACAAAGTGACCAACGGACAGACACCCACCTGCCGTCTCAGCCCAGGGTGCTTCCTATGACAGGGACAGAGGCCAGAGCCACGTGTCTGTCGGCTCTCCAGCAACTCCACTTCCCCAGGCTCCTTCCTGCCAGCAACCAGGGGTTTGAGTGAGTGGGGAGGAGACGCCAGCTCTTCCAGTCTGGACTCAGCTACGTAGGCAGCGTGCAGCCCACGACCTTATCTGAGAGCAGAGACTTCCCTGTGGACAGTGTCATTAAGGGGTTGTCTTTTCCTGCCTGTCCTCGTTAGCCACTCACTGAGGGCTCTCTGCAACATCACAGCCGAGCAGTCAGAACCACTCCCACCCACCCAGTCACCTGTCACCCACTGCAAGCACGGTCAACCTCAGCCATCAAACCCCTGTAACAACGGAGGTCCTCCAAGTCCATGAGAAAGAATCAATGCACTTGCCTTTTTTGTCCGACAGTGTTTTAACTACAAAAACAATATTTCTTTCAAATGTTTTGGCTGAGAGACCTAGGCTTCAAGTTGCTTTTTTAATTTCCCCAGTTCATTTATGCGGACTATGAAAACTGTCGCAACCACATGTGAATGTGCTTCGTTTGAAGAGAAAAGAGGTGAAGCAAAGATGTCAGGCCCAATGGCGCATTCCAGGAGCCGAGTGCTGTTTCACATGATGGTGCAGGGGACAGTCTTGAGAGGCGAGGCGAGGCGAGGCTGAGGCGGGTCATGAACACTCAGCCTGGGAAGAAAGCTCACCTGGCAGAAGAGGGCCTGGGCGTTTGGGGCGGAAGGTGGCCAAGGAGAAGGCCTCTGCAGGGTAGACTGGACAGGGCCCTAGGAGACCCAGAGAGGCTCCAGGGGGCAATGCTGATGTCAATGGGACATGTCTGCGTGGTCAGTCAAGCAGGTCTGTGTCCATCAGCACAGAAGAGAGAGCAGCCCCGTGTCTGTCATCTCTGACTCCAGCTCTTTACAATACAGCAGACAGGGAAGGACCCTCCTTCTCAAAGCTCCCCAGCCTGGCTCACTTCCTATCCGCTGACCCCAAGAGCCAAAGTTCTGCTAGCAGGCATTTCCTATGGAACAAACGCAGGCCACTCTTTGGCCAAGGCTCCCACAGACAGGCACTGATGAAAAGTTGTGTCAAGCCTCAAACATTTAAAAAAAAGACGGGGGGGGGGGGGGGGGGGGGGGAGCCAGGTTGCACCAAAGCAAATTACACTGCTCGACTGCAAACTGAGAGGGGAGTTCGCCTGCTCTTTGAGGATACACTCACAGCAACGCAGACTGCTGGGCAAGCCTGCAGACTCGCTCCACAGGGTCCTGGCCACAGGGAAAGAGCCCATCAGAGGCCTGAAGCATGCAGCAGCCAGGGTCTTGGGTAGTCCTCAGACAGGAAAGACTGGCGCTCATCATGAACGTTGGAAAACTCCAGCCCCTCTTGGGCATCTTGCTAGTGGGAACTTGCACCAGGTCCAGACAGCACTCTGAGTGCCGGTGCTTCATTTGAATAGATGGGGCAGACGAGGCAAACAAAACCTGATTTCCACAAGGGACCCGGCCAAGTCAGAGTGAGCTGGCACCTCTGCGCTTTCAAGGGCATTTGGGGAAAGCCCCTGACCTGGGAAGTCTGAACATGCCTGAAAGGATGGCACTGCCTACATTCAATGCCAAGAAGCCCCTCCCTCCCAAGATGTGCAGGTGTTCATTGGGGGAGGAGACTCTAACAAAGCATGCATGTAGTCCCCTCACCCACGGGACACCCTCTTACCCTCCCCAGCTTCTAAAACATGCAGGCTCTGGGCTGCTTCTCTGCCTCTCCAGCCTAAGGATAAAGTGGGACAAAAAGCTCCTTCAGAGAGAATACCCCCCAGAACCAGCCAGGACTCGTCCCTCTAACAATAGCCCACCTGACAGGAAGCCCCCCGCCCCCTCTCCAAGTCCGCTTGGCTGAAATCCCAGCTTCAGGCAGGTCGAGGCTTGACCCAACCTCAGCCTCTCGGTTCTCATCTGTAACGCGGGGGAAACGGTTCCACCTTGCGATTCTAGCACCGGTACACCTGGACTGTGTAGGCACCTGTGCACCTGCTCCCTGTGGGCCAGAGAAGCCCCTGTGCTCCCTGGGAAGCTGCATGCAAACAGTGCCAGGCACGTCCAGCCTCCATGCCCCAGTCCTCTTCCCCAACTAGCTTTGGACCTAGTGAGGTGGGGGCCTTGTCTCCCTCTTTGTACCCCAAAGCAGAAGCTGACAACATCAGAGAGGAGTGAGGAGGCCCACAAGGAGAGGTCAGGATCCAAGAGAGTTGGCCACTGAGGCTGGGCCCAGGCCAACGCTTGACCATCTGCAAGGAGTGGGTGGCAATGTGGCGAGCATGGAGTGGGACAAGGGATGGGAGGACTAGCATCCACCTCCAAGGCCTAGGATGTATCTTCAACACTGAAAAATTTGCACACGGGATTTGGACTGCCCTCTGAGTCCTTGGTTAAATCAATAAGCAAATATCTGCCCTCGCTGTACCATACTGACCCAAAACTAAGCCCCTGGGGCAGCCAGGCCAGGGAGGGCAGGCGAGAGCAGGGTCAGGGCTCAGTGTGAGGTCCTCACCAGCACCAGACTGTGCGTTTGGAGTGGTAGCTTGGTCGCAAGCACAGCGCTCCTCCAGGGGTTCAGGTTGTTTGCCTTTCCATCTCCAACCAACAAACATGCCTGGGACCTGTGGGAGTCAAGACCGCCTGCCTTACAAAGCCGCCGCCTCAGAAGGGGACCTTCAGCCAGCTAGTGGGCACCTCTGCGGGGAGCCGAGACTGCAGGGCAGAGTGTGGCTGCCCAGGCTCCCAGGCCGTCCAGAAAGGGCCCGGAACCCTCACCGGATGTGCTTCTGAGATGCAAGGTGAGCCCTGCACAGAGGGAGGCGAGACCGGGCAGCGCTAGCTGGGCACCCAGCGTTTGACATCCCAATCAGAGGGCATCCCGACCCGGTAAGAATCAAGAACACAAACCCTGGGAGGGTGTGGAAGATCAGCTGTGCCCACAAGGAACCACCAGGACCAACCAACGATACCACAGGACAGCCAGAGTCGGCAGTTTGGGACACTTCACAATCTGTACTAGAAGAGGACCAGATGTGACTCCCCCCCTGGTGGGGGACACACCTCCCGCTGCTATGCGGATGTCAGCGCCACCACAGCAGACTATCCCCAAAGCAAAGTCTCTCACACCAATCCAGTGTCATTCCATACCACGAGACAGCAAATGGAGCCCCCCCCCCCGACTAAAACTGAAGAACTGGACTCTTGCCAGGGCCATGACCGCCAACTTCTGGCACCAAGAGAAGAAAGATGGGCTTTATCGTTCAGTGTCCACATGGTGACGTCTTCCCCAACCCCCAGTGCCCAAGCCCCCTCGGGCTACCATGGACCATGTCAGAGAGAGAAATCAGCTCTGTGCACAAGTTCCACTTCTGCAAGACCCGCACCGGCCACCTGCACGGCTAGCGTGGCCAGCGCAGAGGAGCTGTACGACTACGGGAGGAGCGCAAACACAGCATTTGGCCAGGAGCCTCTCACACTACAGCCATTTTTCAATGTCCTTGGCCCAACGGTGGTCTCTTCAGTCACACCTCCACAGCCACCCTGGATGCATCCGACGTGGAAAGGCCTCCTGGGGCAGCTCTGGCAGCTCCTCTGCTCGAGGAGGCAGGAAGGGGTAGACGGTCTCTCTGACGGAACCCGAGGCTCCGGCCAGACTTCAGGATTCTCCTGGTGCTTTGTGACCAAAACCCACTTATGAAAATGGCCAAGAAAAAAAAGAGAAGAAGAAAATGGCCAGGACAAAAGGAGCCACTGACCACATGGGGACCTTCTCTTTGCAGACAGCACAGCAGACCCAGGCCCACTAGAGAAAGCGGGAACCACTGGTCCTGCAGCGTCAGCTCAGCACAGGATTGCCACAAGGCCAATGACACCGATCACATTCGGAAGGCAGCCTGTGCAGCCCAAACCGGGCCCCCCTCCAGTCTGAGCAACGAAGCATTCTGAAAAGAACAATTTTATTCTCTTCAAAGTAGGGAACTGCTTAACACAGACCGAATCAGTTCCTCAATCCCATCTAGTTTCACATTCGCGTTTAGTTCCGATAATGTAAAAAAACAAACAAGCACAGAAGTCTGCATTTGCACCGAGTCTTTGAGTTGATGAGTCTGGGCAAAGGCCGTGCTGACAACCCCCCCCAAGGATGCCTTCCATCGCCAACCCGCATTTCCCGGTGT